AATTCAAAAGTATATTTAGTGAAAAATAACAAAAATAAAAAAATCATATAACTAATGTTAACATAAATATAAAAACAATGTATATTTAAAATATTTTATCTACGCCAGTGAGATAAGAACTTCTTATCCCAGTCATTTTGAGTGAGATAAGAAGTTCATTAACGCACGCGTTTTTCTCTGTTTTTAACCAATCAAATAAAAAAGTCAAAATGTCAAAATAACCCTAAATTAAGTCTTAGACAAAAATAATTACCGTTTATTTTTTCATTTAGAGGCGTAGATAAAAATTTGTACAATGTACGTGTGATAACGCTTTATTAACGTACTTGCGTACGTTAATAAAGCTCTTATCCCACTTATATCGTAAATAACTATAAATTAACTCGAACAAATGTTTCTTTTAAATCAATGCATATTCTGTGATTATCGGTTTTTAGACATGCATAATGCCTAATCACATTTAAAGTTTTTACAATAAAATATAAAGAATAAGAAATAATGTACCTATTTTATACGTATTATGCAGCGGCACCCACGCACAAGCGAACCATTAAACAGCCCTTGGAAACAGCACTAGACTAGTTTACAAATTTATAGACGCTTTGCAATCCCCACCACAAATAATAACCCTAGTAGTGTAGATTTAACTTTTTTTAGTGTAAAACTATAATCAATTACTGTTTACTTTACTCTAATCCAAAACAATAATTCACTAGCAAGAGGAAAACTAGGGAAATTTTAACGCAAATAGCGGTTGTAAAATACTTATTTATAGTGTAAATGTGTAACCTTTTACAAAGTCTAAATTAACACTAATGCGATTGTATTAGACATTCGTGTAAAAAATATAATATTTTTAGAGTTACGTTATTATTACACTGTCAAATAATGTAATATAGAGTTATGTAGAGTAAAATTAAGCTATAGAGTTAAATAATTTGTGCATTTTACACTGAATATCAACTCTAAAATATTTACCAACTACACTAGCTACTTTACTCGATCCATATTTTTTACTGTGCACGAAGAAAAGTGAATTATTAAATTAAGTACTTAGTTATGTTTAACTTTGGAAAAAGTAATTATATTTTTGATGATATAGCTAATGATAAAGCGATTCAGAATCAAACCTGTGCATTATTTGTGAAGAATACGGCAAAGATAAACTTTGGTCTCGATGCACTGTGTGTGGACATAGGGCCCACAAAGAATGCACAGGGCTCGATTCTGCCAAAAACTATATATGCGACTTTAGTGTCAAAAAGCCATCTAAACGTCGTCGTTTAGAATTATAAAATATTTATTATAACTATAGTTATAATATGTATAATATGTATACATATTATAAGAATATTTAATTTAATATTTTCTTTTGTTTTGTTATTATTATTGAATACCTGTTAATTTTAGTTTGTTATGCAACACAAGTCCGATTTTCAAAAAGTAGAAATATTGGTTCGAAATTATTTTATGGTTTATGGTCGCCATTCCCCCTCTCTGTTTCCTTGGTTATCGTTTAATTCTGTTAAATGTGTATATTTATTGCTTTAAAATAGTTAATCATTATTTCTCCTAAAGTTTTGCTTCCTACACGTTTAATAAAAACAAATCTTAAATCTAATTAATCACACCTACTCTTTTTTGTTGTTGTTTTTTGTCAAGAAGACACATTTACAACGTTTTTGTATTTTTTTAATTATTATTGTATTTACTACTTTTCAGTCAAGGAATGGTTGCCAAAAAGCACACTTGCTAAATATATGAGTTTGGGAATCATTACTAAACACAAAAGCGCTCACTCATAATATATTAGAGCCGTCCCCAATTTACTGGATTTTCCCAAAACAGTAAATAAATCAATAATTGGTTACCTATTTGATTTTTCGATAAAATTAATATTGTTAAATGGGCAACAACGTTGTTGAATAAACTACGTAACGTGTTCGAAAACAACGGCAACAAATCAAATGCTCATAATTTATTTAGCATTCGATTAGGGCTGTTCACGATGATTTAGATCAACATGAGCAAAGACTACCATTACCGAGGTAAATATTTAATTTTCTTATAATGGGATGTCATATCACGCAAATCTAACCTTAAACGAATACCGAAAACCGTTCTTTTTTTATTATTTATTGGAAAACGTAATTTTAATTTAAGGTTTTATTATTATTACGATTTTAAATTATCCCAACATATATTTATAAATGTATATACATAGGTATTAGTTATTAGTTATCTATGATGTATGTAGTAATTTGGCAGAAAGGTGCTTAGGTATACCTATGTATATGTATAGTCGATAAAAGCAGTAGGTAGGATATATGTAATACATATATATATGTAATACATATTATGTATGTATAAGAATAATAACATAGGTACATATGTATACATAACTATAGTAACGATAATATAAATTGCATATTGCATATTCAATAAATAAAAGAATTAAAAAGATTGTAGGTACAGGTAATCATTTTTACACATTATTCCAGTTATACGAGGTGTGTTCAGAAAATATTGGGAATTTTCGTTTTTTGAAACAAATATTTATTTATTCGTCTACATTAATGTTGTCGCCTTCAAAATAGTCTCCATTGGATATTATGCACATGTGCCAGCTCTTCTTCCAATATTCGAGACACTTCTAAAACTCGATCTTTGAGATAGTCTTTAGTTCTTTCAGCGATGCGCTTTTAATGTCATCTATGCTTGCAAAACGACGGCCCTTTAAGGTTCTCTTTATTTTTGGGAATAGGAAAAAGTCAGACAGAGGCATGTCTGGCGAATATGGAGGCTGGGGCATCATTACAGTATTTTTTTGGCCAAAAATGTTGTTCAAAATTTAACATTTACCCAAAACATTTGAAAAAATTTCATGGGATGAGCCAATCGATATACCAACATCATCAGCAACTAATGGTTTATAACCATTTCTTCCACTTTTTCCATGTTTTTATCGGTTGTTAATGTGCTTGTGCGTTCGGGGCGTTCGTCATCTTCAACGTCTTCACGGCCATCTTGGAAACTCTTATACCACTTGTAAACTCTTGTTTTACTTACATACAGCAGACTCACTATAGGCCTTTGTTAATATTTCACAGAATTTATTTCATTTTTTAAGCAAAATTGGATACAAATGGATCAAAGACCATTTCTTTTAACGAACGAAAATCGCCGAGCTCATAAACAACGTCTAACCTTAGCGGCTGCCACAGACAAAGTAAACAATAAAAACAGCTTAAGTTTTTATTATACTTCGGGGGCATGTATACCAACATAATAAATAAAATGTTATGACAACCGGACCCTCCGAAGCCGCGAAATTTAACAATTCCCGTTATTTTCTGAACACACCTGGTAATTTATAACTTATAAGTTAAAAGTCAAGCTTGCTTTAAAATAAAAATAATATTCATATATTTTTTTAAATATATTTTTTTAAATACAATAATTGACTTAAATATTTCTAACGCTTCCATTATTTATTTATATAACGATTGCGTGTTTTTCACAAAACACAGGAAGTGCAGTTTAAACAATTTAGTTATTTAAATTTTTTAAGTTGCATTGTTATGGCATAAAATTTATAAAATAATATATTAGTTGCGCTACTTTTTAATTAACCAGTGGTTTATTATATTCATAATACCTATATTATAATAGTTGCAATATATTATAATAGTAGAAGTAGGTAAACAGTAATAAATATAATAAATAAGTTTATAATTGTTACCTAATCAAAGACCCTCTTAAATACAAGTTTAAAGATGTTTAAAAAGAAAAATATGATTTTGTAATTTATTACATTATGTAAAGCATACGGAATTGAGATTTGGTTTCTATATTTGCTTCAAGATTTGATACCTAAATAAAATCAATTTTGTTTTTAAAGAATGACTTTATTTATAACAATATAAAGAGGACCCCATTCATAAAGTTATGTTTAAAAATAAGGTCCCCTTGGTTAACCATATATAAACAGGAAATTTCCTGTTTATATATTATATAATTGTATACTTATAAGTAAAGTAGTTTTTTTCAAATAAAAAAAGATTTTATTTATACCTAAAGTTATGTTTTAAAAATAATTTTAACCACCAATGCCTCCCTGCAGATGGTCATTCTCTTTACAAAATTTTAGCACAGAATACGGTACCCCTTAATTTCATTAATAACTTGGATGACTTTTAGCTCGTCAATCGTCCCCAAAGAATAAATACCTATAACAAATCATCGCACGATCTTGATGTCGTCATGTCGAGAAATGATACGGTCAAAATCGAATTAAAAAATTCAAAATAATTACCATCTGCAGAAGTAACCAAGGGAACCTTATTTTTTAAACATAACTCCATGGGTTGTCCTCTTTATGTTGTTATAAAAAAGACGTTTTTTTAAAGAAAATATAGATATTATTTAGGTACCAAATTCTGAAGCACCTCTTTATTTAAATTAGAAATTTCTTTTTTGGTTCTAGAACACTTTATATTTATCCAAAATCCAAAAGCGCAAAACTTAAACATTAAAACATTCACTAATGTGAATGATCTAATCTCACTTTTTGATTCTTATGCTGGTGATAATATACAAATTTGTATATTACTTAGTATAGTTTAACTTTTTAATTACAGTAGGAGAATTGTATGATTATAATGAAGAAACTTCAGCGAAGATACCTATCTTTTTGAAAACTTTAAATCATCAAAAATAGATTGCAAATTAGTATGAATCAATATTGTTTAATTTATAAATTCAATGCTTTCAAATGTGTCTTCAAGATTTACATATAATTTTGATAATCTGATATTTTTTTTAATAGCTTTAATAACTTAAAACTTTAACCCATTACGTCATATATCATAAAAAACGCTTTTAAATAAATTTCATTTTTGTATCAAATTTAAGATAAGTAATAATAAATATTGGTGGCCTCCACAAGAATTACAAATCCTACCCTGTTGAATGGTTTGATTAATGAGCAGTTTACGTACCGTTTGAGCATACGCTGGAGGTGTCTGGATGTCCGGAGCTGTCGGTGTCACTGTCGTGGATGGGGTTGGAGTGCAGGGACAGGTCCCTGGGTCCCGGACTGGGTGACCGGGTCCGGATTATGGCGGCACCATCGGTGGGTCCACTCAGTATGTCCGTGATCATGAAACGTGATCGCGTTGCTGCTGTTTGAGTCATGGCCCTAGCTTCGTCTTGCACGGTCATGCCAGGCGCCGTACTAGACACTGTTTCCCTTAGAGCCAACACTTTGATGACAAACTTTGAAAGTTAGTTGAGCGATTGGTTTTGTTCAAATCACTAAATCACAGTAAATGCACAATTGTCACTATATTAAAATCCAATACCGTCACAATCACTTGGTCATAAATGTAAAAATGCAGTCAAGTTAAAACCTCGTTAGCTGTTAAATAGCATCTAAACTATCAACACTCTCAAAGAAGTATTCTTGTAAACTAACCTTTAAGTGGTGCACGGTATACTCTCCGGCAGTAAATCAGCCATGTTGTGCACCCCACCAAAAAATCTCTCCCCACCCCAGCGGCGCCGCCAATAACTAGGCAGAACCAATAATTGCTCGGCCAATGGGAGCCGCGTGCGCTGATTGAGGCGTACGTACGCTGTCTTCTTGTATTTATTTTATGGGCAGGACTTCGGATGAGATTTTATTAGATTGAATATTTAGGAAAACAGTTTTATGCTTTCATTGGTTATATAATAAAGCTACATTGGAGAAATAACCTGCTCTATTGTGTCTTTCCATTCTATTAGTTTTGTATATTGTTGGTGTAGTTATCCCGTTGCAATACATTTTATACACACTAATTATTTAAAATAAATCATCTGGTTCTGACAGGTGGAATTGAAAGTTTTAACACATTGTTATTTTTTAATTTCAAATAATTTTATTTAATCTGGTTTATTTTAAAAATAAAGGAGTAAATCAGTATAATGACAAAAATTATACAAAATTGTTAAAAAAAAATTTTAAATGATTTTTAATTTTTTTTTAATAACCAACGTCCCTTTTAAAAACCAAATTATTATTTTTTAATGCGCTGGATACAAATTCGACCTTGGAATTGCTCCATCATTAGGTTTTTAGGAAATTTTACCAAAATAATTTTTACCACATAAAACTTATTATCACATATAAAAGGGACGTTGGTTATTTAAAAAAAATTAAAAATCATTTAAAATTTTTGTTTAACAATTTTGTATAATCTTCCCCTTGAAAATAATTTTAAAATTTTTAAAATATCTTTTCTCGTCTTTGCAGATCAATACGATAAATAATTTTTTTATGACTAATGATTCCTCGAAGGGAGCAAAACATTAAAAAATTCAAAGTTTTGAAGGATACCTAGGAGTAGTACTTTCAGAACGATTCTGCAGACAGCACATAATAACTACCTATTTAAATATACTTGAATTTGAAAGACATTCATTGGATTACCATTAGATATCCCATGGATTATAATTTTGTGTGTTATAATACAAATAACCACAATACATATGTGTATACAAATTTATACAAATTTGTACAATTTAGATAATTTCCTTGGGACCTAAGAATATCCCAAAAATAACCCGTGGGACTTTCAAAAAAATCCTTACTGAGGATGTTCTCTGAACGTCCCACTGACTGTAACTATCCAGGATGTCCTTAGGCTGTCCTTTTTCAATATCTATGTGGATATTTGAATATCCATGGGATATCTAATGGTAGCTACAGCTAGACATTATTCGCTACAACTGAGCAGATCAGCTCGACAAACGTATAGAAAGAATGATCAGTATTTAGATGGGCCATCACACGCATATCTTAACCTGAATATTTGCAACCTATCGGTATATATAGTTAGCGAGCGGGTGCAAGCAGTGGTGAGAGGTATCCCTACTAAATTTGTTTATAAGTTTATTAATTAAACCAACATTTTAATAATTTTAGTATACTATAGTACCCAGATAGCACAGAGATGTCGGACTCGGACGTTTATGACATCTTTAAGACGTCCAGTTTACGACGTAAGTCATCTTTAAGATGTCTTTAAGATATCTAATGTTACAAAACACATCGTCTTTAAGATGTCCTTTTAAGGCATTATTAAGGGCCGGTTTTTCAATCGTTGGTTAAGTTTATCTTAAGGTTAACTTTCTTAGATACTATTGTGTTAACAATAGTATCTAAGGAAATTATCCGTAAGATAAACTTAACCAACGATTGAAAAACCGGCCCTAAGTCGTTGCTAATAGTCGTTAAAGCGTCTTTAAGATGTTAAAGACTACATTGCTCCATCGCCAAAACGTTTTAAAGGTATAAAGTAATTAAAATGTAGCTATAGCTATAGCTATAATAATCCTTATAAACTTCTAAAAATAACGTATACTTCTATTTAAAATAAAAAAAAATTAAATTGTTACATATTTATTTCTGCCTATTAATTCAAATCAATAGAGTCAAAACTTCTTGTCAAGTAGAACCCTTCTGTCTGAAGCCCTTCTTGAGTGTATTATAGGTGGGGATCAGGGTCAGAGACCAGGGTATCCCTCGGGCTATCAATTATTTTCTCGGAAAACACCACAAAAACGAAACCAAATTCACAAAAAAAGTCGAATACTTACCAACACTGCACAATGATATAACTTGTCACTTGAGTTGTTGAACGTCGAACGGGAACATAAAAAAGAAAAACCGACACGATTAGCAATAGGATTCAACCAAATTCAACATCCAAGAAGCAAAAATGTCTGCAATCTGGATTTAGTTACGAGTTATTTAAGAATTGAAAAGAGGCAGACATATCAGCGCTTGGTGAAATAGAAAAAAACTGCATAAGCATCATATGGCGTGACTAGATGGTGCCGATTTGGTGATTTCATTGCATTATGGGAAATGTGCGGGTAGTTTGATTTAAAAACTTTCGCTGGGTTATTTTAAGGTTATTTTGTCTTAATAAAAACATATTTGTTTATAATATTCTTATTACAAATGGATATTATTAATTGTAGGAAAAATAAACAATCTACAAAAACGTCAGATTTATATTTATGCAGTTACCCTACCCATCATCTTTGTCAAAACTTAAAATCCTACATTAATGTTGTTTACACCAAAATAAGATGGTACCTACCTAATTATATCTTACTATGAAGTGGCTGATTATGGGATATAATTTCGATTTTTTAAAAAATAAGCGGCGGTATCAGGCAGTTATAAGATGTCTTTAGAACATTAAATAAAGATATCTTTAAGACGTATATCAACAGACGTCTGTCAGACGTCTTTTTGAGATCTTTAGACGTTCAGGCATAATACAAAACATACAAAAGATATCTTCAAGACGTTGTGTGCTATCTGGGTAATTATGTTTAGTATTGGCCATTTTACCTATTAAGTAAATAAAATTATAATTTTTTTAATTTAAATAATATTTTTATTTCATTTTGTGAAATTAGGGCTGGTCCAATGACGCCATAAGGACGTTTGTGCTTGCTGCCTTTTTTTTAACATCTAGAATAATTTTCACAGAAACAATAATTTTTCAAATGTTTGATATCTACATAGGTAGGTACATCCATTAGACATCCAGTAGATATATCTATTAAAGTTTTATGTATTTCAAAGTAAATTATAAGAAATGTTAAGACAGGTGTCCTGAAGCAATTTTGGGATGTAGGTATATTAAATTTTTCTTCTAGATATTTAAAATTTATAATATAATTTGATTTTATGGTTATTTATTATCATTTTATATTTTTTTATTTAAAATATTTAAAATATAAAATTTTTAGTATAAAATATGAAATATTAAAAATAAAAATTTGCAAATAGTACATAAAAAATATAAAACCGCTTGGGTTTAATTTTTAATACCCATCTCAAAAAATATCAAAAACAACCACTTAATAAAATAATAGCAGATATCAGATATAATTTACAGTTTATCTTTCGTTGTTTACGTGTTGATAAAATGAAAATAATTATCTGATTGTACCACAGTCTCTCACATGGCCTGTCACCTTAATTTTATAAACAGCAACCAGTGGGAAAATGACCATTTAGGATATCCTGTTCAGATAACGAAAAACACAACACAACCTATTAAAAGTGAATAATGATAACACCCAAATTTACGTTATAGAAAATAACGTAATCATTAATAAAAATCAATTCGCAAAGTTTTATTTAAACAAATTTGTAACTTAGCCAGTAACCACCATAAAGCTTTTAAACTAATACCTACCTACTTAACATGTTACGTAGGTGCACACGATCGCGACGCGTCGTAAACTTAAACTTAAAATTAACAATTTGGACAAGTTACCAAAATAACGGTTTACCTTGTCGCTAATTACATAGTTTTTCCGACAAAAAATTGTCCCATAAAATGTGAACCGCTTTAGGAAACAGTATTTTAAAGTATACACTTTAAAATAGGTACCTATAGGTATCAATTGCAAAATTTTAATAATGGATAGTTGGAAAAAGGTAAGTCGTAAATTTCTTGTTGACTAATTCTAAAAAACGTGTAGGTAATTAATGTTTGTATAGCAAGTCTTAAAACGGTTTTAATTACTCCTACGCCCCTGGTCATTCGCAGGACTGAATTCAGTGCATTTGTGAATTTGTAAGCGCTCATGCTTGACTCCCATAAAAGAGGGCTTAATTTCGACCTAATTGTTACTGTGACACCATCTGTTTCCTTTCGTACCGGAGTGGTAATAGCAACACAATCAGATTAAGTTCAGGTTTTACGTTTGTACCATACGCCACCCTCTCGCTTGCTCTCTTTTCCTCTGTACTGTGCTGTGTATAGACAACTATGAAGTGAAAACTGGGGGTGACAACTCACTTTTTAAATTTGCCGGCTCGTAATTCAATCAACTTGATTGTAATTTTTTTAGGTGTAGAAGATAAATTTGTTTTTGCAAGCGAAATTGAATTTACCTTTATTGGTACAGATTTATGAGAACATTTTTCCTATACGTATACACGTATATACGTGTATTTCCTATATTCGCTATTATTGGAGCTACAAAATCGGTTAAATTAGAAAAATTGGTGGCATTTTCTCTTATAATTAAAATGGTAAAAAGAAACAAATGGGACACCGTGTATTTTTTAAAATATTTTTAAAGACAAAATTTTTTTTCCTATCTACATCACACTTTAAAATAAAAAATTAATAAGAACTTAAACTTTCTGATGGTTATTTAAATAACCAAGTTATTACTTTATTTTATCAACAATCACAAAGTTCAAGTGATTTATAATTGTTTATTTTTAAGTTAGGGGTAGTTATGCAAAAATAATTGTTGGTATTTTAAAATATGGAAAAATATACAAGTTGACTGTTTTTACCATTTAAATCAGAAAAAAATTTCAATTCCGATATTTTTTCATAGATATATAGAAAAGTTTATAAACGAGGTGCATACTATACTTTTTCTACGACAAATACTTAAGTATTATTATCTTAAAATAA